TGACACACTAATCTTCTTGTAACTACAACTAGCATGTTGGCATTTTGCTAATTTGTTAATGACTGCTATTCTTTTATCCATCCATCTAATTCCACAAGGGCTGTAAAACAAAGAAAGTATATAAAATATTAGCATATCAATAAACATCTTCATGACTAGCAGATTGAAATTAACATGAGCTGAACTGTGATTCACCGAACCGATTGATTCAATTGGAAATGGAATCCAGCTTTTGACAAGCAGTAAATTTACAATACAATACATTAAAATGGGAGTGCTTCTAAAAAAAAAAAAAAAACACTTATCAACTATGCATCTCAGTCTAATCAATTTGCTAGTACATTTTGCTATAAATAAATGAAAGTTTTTTTGTATATTATTTCCTGTTTAAATCTAGAAATTTTACTTCTAGAAAGTATGAAGCTAGATCTAAATATATAATCCACATATTAAAAATTAAATAGTCATGAGTCTTCACTTTAAACATATGGCTATAGAAACTTATTGTTGCCACTATTTTGTTTACCATGTTCACTGCCAGAACTTGTTTATAGATTCAAACAAGCACACATGTACAAATATTAGTATGTTTGTACAAGTTTGAAACTTCATCAAGTCACATACCATCAAAATGGCTTGTCTAATTACCCGTCCCCTATATTTTCCTGCCAATTTATTAGACATTCTTCACTGTCTCTTTGACAGTACTTCTTATTGCCTACACCAAAAACAAAGTTTTCTCATGCGCTGTTTGCACATTGTTTTAATGTTTTAAGGCATTTATCATGCAACATTCACATTTTCACAATGGCATGGGACAAACCAGTAGACATTATTAGGTATACTGATGAAGATAGTGAACTGACGACATTGACGACTATGTGGAAAGTATGGAAATCAGCAATGACCGGATTGATGACAGCACCAATGTAGGTCACGGCTGTACTGTAAACACAAGAAGCGATTTTCCTTGTTGTGGTGATCCTAGAGTAAGTAACGGTACATGTCTGGATAGATGTTCCACAATACCCATTAGTTTGAATTTCATGAAGCAGCCAGCCTCAAAATCCAATGCAAGTTGATTTGTAATCCACCGATTTTTGGCGTATTCCTTACTCTACAATTATTTGATTTGAAGGTACAACCCTGTTTGGACGCGTTTCTAAAATAATTGTTTAGTTGATTAATATCCATGAAGCACAACAATTAGATAATCGCATTCCTAGACAAGTTTTACACAAAAGATATAATAGATATCATTCAGAAAAATATAAGATTAAAAGAGATCTCATAATTACCAAGTGACCACGATGCAAATTCAAACAGGCACATACGGAATTAATGAATCTCAACATTTTCATTGAGAAATATTTTTGCAAGTTAAATGAAATAGTTGCTCGAGAAAAGCAAGGAGCATCTGACTTCATCAGGGAGGGAATTAAAAAGTTTACTAAAATGAATATATGGGGAAAATTTGTAAGCATCAGTACGAGCGAACTTTTCAATAAACTGAAGTGTAGTAACATGACGGCAATTAACTAGAATATTAGTAACATCAACACAATATTTCTTGTAAAGACAATGATAAAAGATAAATGAAGAATCATGAAACATGAGTGATGGAATAGCATATATCCGAAGTCTGTCAGGATAATAAGGTCGTTCGTTCCACGGCCCACCAAAGTACGCTCTAGTGTAACAACGTTGGATTTTTTCAAGGCTTGAAATATGACATTTCAAGCCTTGAAACTGCACTGCACAGGCACTGCGTATTCAATTATGGGATGGCAAAGTGAAAAATACAGATTAAGATATGCAAGATTGCCCTTAGGGTCACCCGAAATTCTTGCAATAAGTCTTGGAGGCCCAAGAAATAACATAATCAACATGCTTGCTGCAACAAAGATCAGAGCTAAGCATTACACCGAGATACTTGTATGATTTAACAGATTCTACAGCGCGAGCAATGGAAAATAGCGAGAGTCAAGCAACCAATATTGAAGGGATAGCACGCGCTGTAGTTAATCGAGTGCGTTGGGTAAACAGCCAAGACAAATTGATAAAGATGCACATTCCAAGTGTACATCAGACGTGGAGCGAAATTGTTATCGATGTGGTAAACACTGGCATTTGCAAGCTGACTGCCCATCGAAAGATAATAAGCAATTAATAGAGCTCTGCATAGTACACTATAGGAAAATTATTATACAAAGTTTAGATTTAATGCTTGAAAAAAATTTTGAATGCATTAAATCTAACCCAAGTATAATAATTTTCCATTTAGTGTACGATGCATGCTCTACTAATTGCTTTATAAGTCAATATTTGCATCTTGTGTGGTTATTTAAATAATAAAACAAATGCACGATGATATTTGAGTGAAGCATTGTGGTGAAAATGTTTTTTTCCCCTTGTTTTGCTGCATGCAGGATTGGCTGGGTAAAATTGATAAATAAAAGTATACAAACTGATGAAAACAATTGTTTCATTCTTTTTGTGCAACACTTTCATGTTTGCCCAGCGCGTCGTAATGCGTCACAATGCATCGCTACAAAAACATGTTTTGTTTGTTGACATATGTGCATAATAATGTGTAGTAGTAGGCTCGCCGCGGTAGACCAATCTGTACCTATACTTCAGCGTCAATCACTGCGTGGGGGGGGGGTAATTTCTGCTACACTCTGAATACACTAGAGGCCTGGCTAGGAATTCAAAATAATCGATGACCTCACCAAGACAAGTAATGTGTTATGTTTTGTTTCTTGTACAAAGAAGTAATAATTGAATAGTAGATCCTTAGATTCAAGATACTATTATTTGACTCTAACTAAATATACAATTTCATAATTTAGGTGCAAATGTGGTCAGTGTAAGAAAATGAAGACTACAAATGAATGTCTTTGTTGTCATGAGGTCCCAGACGTTGTTGAAACCAGAGACAGAGATGCAGAAATCACTGGAGAACTAAGTTTAACAGTAATTGCCTAGATAAATGGGCATGCAAATGGCGAGGAGGCACACGGCAAAAAAATATTTGTGCCATGAAAAAAAATCTGAACATGAGTAAGTTATACATTATGTATATGTTAATGTGCATTGTATATGTACAAGTTAGTGGGACTGTATAAATAAACAAGTCATTTTTAAACAAGCATTTTGATTTTTATTATAGAAAGATTCCATAGTACAGCCTCTTATTTCTTATAAAAGGCACTTACAAATACTTTACATAGAAAAACAATATTTACAGTACAGGTATTTTACATATGGGGTAGGATCGTTCAAGTCCTAAGGTCTACAACCCGTATACCCCGCCAAAAAAAAAAACTACCAATAACAACCATATAATGAGAATGGCGGAAGTCCGCAAACTACGACTTGCAATGGAGAAAGCCATTCTAATTGTACATTTATTTCTTTATCTGCATACATTTTCTTTGTTTAACTATATGCACTTTCTTTTTTTCAGGAAATTCAGACACACCGCCTACAGAAACTTTATTAAGTGGACACATGGATATATTGGCAAGAGTAATCGTGTGGTCATCCCTTCATGTGCGATTGCTAAAATTAGAAGACAATTTAAGTCTAATAAATACACAGACTTCAAGTATCCAAGTTTATAAGTAACACAGTTATACAGCAAAGCGTGTGCGGTGAGCAGCAATAGCTTCTCTTTTGTCTGGCCGTTCATAGCTGCTGCAGAGAGAAGGTGGGGCATCTGTATATCCCTGGATATCAACTATATGGCTACAACAACTTATAACCATTTCAAGAAGTATGTCCACATAGTCTGCAAAATATTAAATGTTATATATTGGTTTGACAACTGCCCCACCTTTCATGAACGTGGGATAGTTGATTACATATCGGCTTTTTCCATTCTTAGTTGTAGCTTGTTCTCTTCAACCATTCTCATTATAATGAATTGCGGCTAACAAAGTCCTGTGCAATAGAAACCATACAAAGATTTTTATTATTTTTTAAAATTATGAAGAACTTATACAAAAATGTAAAATAAACAAATGTGTAAAAATACAATGTTTACCTGCATTTCTGAACACGATATGTAAAGTGATACATTTTTGGTGCAAAGTGATTTAGAACAGAGTGATAGGCCTCTAATTTTGATGTCTGAAACTTTTAGCTCATCATACAAATGTCTGCTCGCAGGCGAGGATTGGTAACAACCTTTATGACTTTGTTGCATGCAGTGGTTCCTATAAAATTCACAAAGAACATTCTTTAAAAAGAAAGGTTCCATGTATAAACACAACCAACAATTAATTTTCATGCCAATGACATGGCAGAGGCTAATTTGATGGTACACAACAAACTGTGTAGAATGTTCTCTTACCAGGTTTTAACCATTTCCTTTTCTCAGTCTGTCCTATCGCAGCATGCTCACAATTAGGAAATAAATCTCCATGTCCTGTGTGCTTGTCTTAAATGTTTCCTGCGAGAGAAGTCCATTTAGCCAACATTACATTTCCATCACTCGTATTAGTTGACGTTGCACACTAGTAGAGATGATTAACAATACTGCGTATCCATGGTCTTCTTGGTTTCCCACACACTAATTTTGCTGCTGCATCAAGTTTTTTCTTTATTCCTGCCAAAAATGTATATACAAAGAATACCAAATTTTTAGACCTAATTTACAAATAAAGACAGTGGCAGCTCTACAGAGTGGGGAGGGGATGTAAATCATTTTTAACTACTACTTGACAGTGATTTTTTTTTGGGGGGGGGGAGGGGTTGAGTAACTTTTGGAGGGACATGCGCACCTCCTACCTGCAGATTCACCACCGGTAATCAGGTCCCCCCCGTCGGACAAATCCCACTTCTGTATACAGAACAGAAACATACCCTTCGCTATGTGCCAGTTGTCGAACTTGTGGTCTACTTCAGGCAAATTCTCTCTCACCCACTTCTTGATAGCTGTATGACGATCTGTAACCAACAAGTCAATCTTCACTCCACTGTCTTCGATAGCTGTATGACGATCTGTAATCAACAAGTCAATCTTCACTCCACTGTCTTTGAGATTCTTCACTGCTCTTTTAAGGCCTTCTTTCTCCATGGCATGGCTTGAACTAACTTCATTAGACTAAAGATAGAAAATAAATTTGCTACATGTTGGAAATATTAATATTCATCTTTGCACAATGTGAAAGTAGTATATTCAATGAAGAATTTTATAAAAAATAAATTGAAAATGGGAAAGCTCCCAAAATTATGAATTTTATTATTTTAATTATTCACCTGCACAAGTTGAACATCAAGGATTTTCCCACTATTGAGCTCCATTAGTGTATAACAGCCATATTTTGCTGAGTGACTGGGTGAATCACACCGTCCATCACCGCCAACAACAACTTTCTGGCCTTCTTGTAATCCTTCAATCCACTTTGATTGACTATCTTTCCATAATTTCTCTATGCTCGGCAACAGAAAATTCTTTTAGTGAACAAAAAAGGTATGCGAGGATAAGCTTGCACATCTTAAATGTTTCAAAAGTCGCAATGATTTTGCAGCACATGATCCGGAAAACAGGATAGCTGCCGAAAGCAAAACATTTCCAGCTGGGGTGGATCCCATACCCTTTTGAAGTCTAAAGATGAGCAAAGTTGGCGCATGCGACAAAAAGTACTTCGGACGGAACAAACAGTACTATCTGTCTGTGCACTGCACATTGGACAGTTCCAAAAGGCTGCAAGAAGCTGGTCTTCATAAACAAGAAACTTTCGTCCTTTGTAGAGGTCACCCTGCACATAGTCTCTGTAGAAAACGAAAAATAGAAACAATGGTAATTTATTTTAAAAACTAATAACATTATAAAATATGATTTAACAATAACAAACGTCAATTAAATGTTGAATTGTCACACAACAATAAAAACAAAATACAACTTACACATTTCCTTCATTGTACACCTCAGGCTCCACATCAATATCCTCCGATGGATCATAATCTGGGTCATTGGGATCGTCCTCTGTGTCATTGTTAACGTCATCATCCTCATCCTCTGCCTCCTTCTCTGTGTTGCTTTCTGTGTCGTTATCAGTGTCATCCTCGGTGTCGCTTTCTGTGTCATTATCAGTGTCGTCCTCAGTTTCATCCTCTGTATTATTGTCTTCTATACCTATAGCAAAACCACTTTCATTATGTTGCTTCTCTGGAAATATCTGCATACCTAAAACAAACATAAACAAAACAGTGATAAACCAATGTTTAGTGCATACATTTTATTGACACACAAGTATTGTAAACAAACATTTCAATGAATAAAAAAAAAAGAAATTCAAGGGTCTAAATGCTTTTACATATATCTATCCAAGCAAATGACACTTTTACCAATAAACATTTTATTAATCGTTATTATGGTGTAGAGATATTAAATAAATACTGTACCTTTGTCTGCCATTTTTGTCTGAAATTGCACACTGAAATCTGCTGTCTTTGTCCTCTTTCTATTCTTTTGACAGCATCCACAGTGAACTGGTTCTAAAGGGTCAGTCTGGAAAAATGTACCATATTTGTATATGTTTTTTTAATGACGAGAACAAATACAGCATACAAAAAAATGTGGTTTAAAAAAAAAACATATTTTACAAGCATAAAAAAGCTTGTCTTAATTGTTCATGAATTGTCGTACTGGCTTGTTGAACTATTCATGGTTTTTTTTTTCAATAATAAACTGTAAAGTATTCGCTGAGAATATTAAATGTGTGACCATCTGTTCAGAATACAGTAGCTGTAGTGTGGCTATACATAAACCAACCTGAACCTGTACCTCATTTGTAGCAGGAGTCATTGGTTCAGCTGCTGGTTGTTCTTCACTGTTAATAAAAATCTCCTGCAACACCTGTACAAAAAAAGATTTGACTTTTTGTATTCTCATAAATTAATTTTTTACCGATATAAAAGTATTTAGGTCATTGAAACTTTATTCACGATAATACTTGTTCAAGCAAAAATGTTAAATTTTGTCACCCTTGAGTTTACATAAATTTGTGATATACTGTAGTGATATAATTTATAAAACCAATTGAGGAGAACTATTTGTTTTAAAGGCCCGATATTAATTAGGCCATATGTATATCTAAATTTACCCCAGGTTACAATGAAACTATTAACCAGATCAACATAGTCATACAAACGGTGGTGGTAGACAACACACTATCGTATATTTTAATTTTGAAAACAAAACGACGAATACAAATTAATTAATTTATATTAAAACATGTTTGACTAAATTTATTAGTCTTATTTATACCACCGAAAATTCGAGGGAGACACAGCTTAACTCCCGAAAAATGGTCTAGGCCTAGGCCTACCTACGCGCGGGAGATTGTAAAGGAAACCAACTTACCCTGGACCGCTCCCTCTTCTCGTATGCTGTCGATCTCCGCTTTTTGTTCTCATTGCCTATCAACTGTCCTGGTCGAAGAGGTTTTTTTAAATATAGTTGGGATTACTCCCTTTGTAAGCCTTTTGATGGTGTGACCAGACAGCCCAATGCTGGTTGCCAGTAGACTCCTTGACTCAAAGTCATCGGTCGCTAAGTGCTCGCTGCACAACACAGAATGTACGGAGCCCTGAAAATTCACTCTTGTTTTTGATAGATACAAATGGGTCGCAGCTGTATCAAATTCACTCTTGTTTTAAATACAGCTGCGACCCATTTCTTTCTTAGAAATTCATCTTTCGGGAACAGATGTATACTAACATTATTCGCATGGCTGTTACTGCACCCAGCAGCCACACATTTAGGCATTGTTTTAGAACAAAGTACAGTACTGCCTTCAATGGTTGTTTATCAACAACAATGTCAATACGATACAATACGTCGAGTCAGTCAACAGAGAGCGGCTGTAAAGTTGGCACAGCGTTCACATCATATCTGTTACAGGTCAACTTGAGGTTAAATTCGGTAGGCGGGGCTTCGAAGCCAAAACTGGCTCAAAATATGCCATTAACAATCATTTTTTTGACAAAACGCAAAAATAAATAATAAAAAGGCAACAAGGTATTGATTTGTTATCATATACTTTATTCATTTATAATGATTTGAAGCAAACTTGGTTTGATCACACTTGTAATTCTTTAAATACTATTCACAAGGAATGTGACAAGTCAACAAGACATTGAAAAATTTGAAGAGGGAGGAAAGTTACCGTTTAACAAGAGGGGTAAGAGCAAATGCCAGGCTCTCATCCCTGCTGTTGATAAACTCATTAACAAATGTGCGACTGGGTTTCCTCAAGATCTTCCTAGCAGAAGGGATTCAGTGGTCAAGGGAAGCATACTTCACTATTTCCATGTTGGGTTGGAAACTGGTTCAACCACTTTCTTGTTAATGCTGGACTATCTTTATGCCGACCACATTTTGGATTTTTTTAGGAAAATGTCTGTAAACAACATGCTTGAAAGAGGAAAGTTGATGCCACTGTTAAGAGCATTGGGGCTACTTGACAAGTACCTAACTGGGTCATGGATGAGGTGGCAGGAGAAACTTTTAATATTCTTTTGATCAAGAAGTATTTACACGAGTAGTAGACAATATCAACAATACAAATGCTCAATTACTCATCCATGGATTTCAATAAACAGCTTTTGGGTACCCTTTTAAGAATGCCATGAAATTCAAAATACTTTGCGATAAAAAGCCAACTGATGACGAAAATACTAAATTCTGGATGTGTTACTTGACGTGACTTTAAAGTTAACAAGGTGAGCGAAAATGTTCTTGCTAAGTTCTTGCTCTGACAAGGAGAAACAGGCTTTGTTTATTGATGCTACTAGAGAGGCAAGAAAAGATAGGATCACTGACAGTGTCAGGCATCGAACTTTGGTATAGAAAAATAAATGATAAATTAGACAAATCACGAGAACTCGTGAAAGCACAGGAAGAAAACGGTAGAGCCTCCAAAAAAAAAGTTGTAGAAAGAAAGTTAGATAGTCGTTATGTACTCGACAGTTGGCTGCCTTTATATCTTCACTTGTCTTCAATTTGCATTCGAAGGGTACATTGCTGCATATCCAACTGTCGGGGATACAGTACCTTCATGACTACTCATACAACAGAAAAAAACGTCGCATGGAGTTAGTGAAAAATGGAGATCTAAATGAAAGAACGATGTATTTTAGCAAGTATTAACCTTTTTGTTTTAATTTAGGTCTTCTTCAAAATACGTCCTATGCCACAGCAGTTGATTTTTTTTGCCGTAAAACCAAAATAGTTTCATCCATGCCGACTTGCCTATCGGTTTAAGCATGAGCCCTGACTGAACTCTGCAGAAACGTCACATCGAACTCCGCATTGCGAGGTAAAACAAAATGTCGGAAAATTTTTCTTTGACGCATGTGCATTTGCATAAATATCTACACACACACGCACACACACATACTACACACAAACAAACAATAAAAACAAAGAAAAATGAAGAGTGATTACAATAGTTCCTATTGCATTACATGCATAGGAACTAATAAGAAAAAATTGTGGATATTTTTTTTATCTCATATGAGTCATTAATTTGCCCTTGTTTGGAATATGGTTTGCCGGTTTGGTCACCATCCTACCGGCACTGATAGACTACCGACCGGCATTGGTCTTTCAATGATTTTGTAAACTTCCGAAACATAATTAACGAAATACCTCGCTATAAAATCGTCACTCACTTCACAAACTAACACAATCAAAGTAGATTGTGTTAGTTTGTGGAATTACAGTAGCGCGCCAAAACAAGCGCGTATTGGTTGTCAAGCAATTTTGTATTCTTTACACACAAAAAGTCCTTAACAAAGACAGCGCGTATTTTTATGCGGTTTATAGATTTCACGAACTAACACAATCTACTTTGATTGTGTTTAGTTCGTGATGTGAGCGATGAAATCAAGGATATTTAAATGTAAAGGTCCTTTAAACACGAACGGCATTCAGTGTAAGAAAATAACTGTAGAAGTACACGTTCCCATGGTTACGTTAATTGTTAATTAACTGCTGTGCACTGGATAGGGCCAAACATAGATATTCGTGCACGCAGAACAAGTGACAGTACACGTCTGGAGAATGATGAAATACCTAAAGCGAATTCACAGGGCTGAGCACATGCGACAAGACCTGTTGAACTGAAGTTTAAGTTTAAAATTACTGTTTATAACAGAAAACAAATAAACACCATAGCAGATATCAACAAAGTATATTATTATCATTGTCTGAATTAAAATTACATACAAACATAATTAATATACAAGATTAACAAAGCACCGCTTCACTAAAATATACAGGGTAGGTGAACAACTCCATTTACTGAATCGCACAAGTTTGTCTGAACCACTGCCAGCCAGTCGGCCACTTTCATCATTTGACATTCTTAACATTCCTGAATTGGCGGCGTACAAAGACTGCTTCTCACAAGAGTATCGTGGGAACGTTTCATATTTAATTTACGGTTACTGGGCAACATGCTGGATAAATTGTTAAATGATCAAATTTCCAGGACATTCAAGAACAATCATAAATTTCCAGGACTTTCCAGTACTGGAAAATGCTCAATTTGTCTTTCCAGGACATTCAAGAAATTTAAGGACGCGTATGAACCCTGCCTTTTAATGATTGGAATAGTCTGCCTAAAATTGCTGTCCAGGCCCTTAACCTACAACAGTTTAAAAGAATTCTGGATAAAACATGGTGCTTAAAGCTACATTCACATCAAGCCAGGATTCCGGTCCAGAGTCCGGAGAAAAAATCGTGAGAAATGGCTTCAGTGGTAAAGAATAGAAGCGTTCACATCAAAACTAACCGGATTCCGGTACAGATTTGCTCAGGAGTCCGGATTCAGAGGAATGGCTTTGAGAGCCATCGAAAAATGAAATTGTACGTTTCTTTTATTTGGTCACCTAATAGCTTTAAGAGATGCTGATAGTATTGAAGGGGTGCAGAGGAAAGCTACTAAAATGGTTCATGATCTAGTTCATTCAAAGTATGAACAAAGACTGATCCACCTTAAATTACCCTCACTACAGTATAGGCGTCGTCGGGCTGCCCTCATTCAAGCTTTCGAAATTATCAAGGTCTAAGTTTGTGTAGGGTATTCGCCACATACAATCTTTGCATGCACGCTATAACCATGACTGTAACCCTATTGTTGACAACAGATGATGCATTATCAAGTCCTATGCCTCTGTTGTAGGAAGGAAGTTGAATCTATTTATTAATGGCATAATAATTATTATGAACAATCCCCTCTAGAAAAAAAACCCATCTTTTAGTTCCCTTTTATTGACTGGAATAGTCTGCCTGAAATTGCTGTCCAGGCCCTTAACCTGAAACAGTTTAAAAGAGTTCTGGAAAAAAACATGGTGCTTAAAGCTACTTTCACAGCAAGCCCAGATTCCGGTCCGGAGTATGGACAACAAATCGTGAGAAATGGCTTCTGCGGTAAAGAAAAAAAGCGTTCACATCAAAACTGACCGGTACGGTACAGATTTGCTTAGGAGACCGGATTCGGAAGAATGGCTTCGAAAGCCATCAGGAAAAATGAAATCATACGTTTTTTTATTCTGACCAATCAGCAGCAAGCACCATTTGACCTCTTGAAAACTTGATAGCCAAATTTTTTACGCATGCTGGATGAGTGGATCGATCAACACAAGGTAGGCTAGTTAGAAGCTATATTTTTACGTATATACTTCTTTTATTTATAACTTATAATAGCTAGTACTAGTAGGCATATAACTTCATGTCCACAATAATTGCGTCTAGACCTATCTATTGCTATGCAGCAACAGACGACAGCTGACCTAGCCTGAGTATTGCACGCCTGAGCAGGCCTAGGCCTAGCTAAGTACTGTGCTGCTATTGATTTAAATGAATTATATGAATTCGAGTCAACTCGGCCCCAAGTACTAGATAGGGTGATAAACTAATAATATTATTGATAGGGCCTAATCATCATCACTGGTTAAGAAAATTTAATGTACACCTGAGTGGTCAAGGACTACAAGGCAAGATAAGGAAGTACAAGTGGGCAGATCAATTGCAGTTTTTAAATGCCTTTGTGACTACAAGGAGGTATTAATACTTTTTATTTTGGTACATAAACAACTGTAAAGTAAACTACGGTAAAATGAGATTTATGAAATAAACTACAAGTTCTTATTAATAAATATCATTTGTTCTACATTCAACTAATACTGTAATTATAAAAAATACAAGTTACTTTTGATACAAAAAATATATTGCTACTAAACATTAATTTAATTAAGTATTGCTGTTAAATATTACCTGATTTACACTGCACTACAATAAAACAGTTAAGGAGCATGTCTATGTATAAATGCATCCATAGCCTTGCTCGAGTTTGTTTCTATAATGAAGTTGAAATGGTGTTCAACAGACTTTCACTTAAAACAAGAAATTAAGAGATCACAGATTTGCGCAATTACTAAGTGCATAGGATAAATAATTTAACATCAAGAATTTAACTTTATTTTTTTTTTGCAGAAGCACTGGAAATTTGCCATCTACTGCAGATGATAAATGTAGCACACTACTAAACAGTATTCTGGAAGGTGATGTTAACAATGAAAAAGATAACGATAATGAAAATGCTGTAGCGGGTGCATCAACAGCCAATATTGAGCCTGCTGTTATGTCATCACAAATACAAAGGGAGAAAGTTAAGAATGATGAAGTCAATTCAGCCATAATTGACTATCTTCGAATATCAATGTGCTGACTAAAACAAACATCTTAAACTGTAAATACTACCATCCAAACATTGGTATCTGCTGCTAATTAACTCTAACTAATGGCTACAAGATCGTCAAAATCTAAACAAAGCAAGCGAGAAAACTAGCGAAAATGTCTCTTCTACCGGTAAGAAAAAACTAGGCCTAAGCCCTGGCCCGGTGGACACTAGTTTCCAAGAACCAACAACAGCGTCGGCGGCAACAGAGACACTGTTGACCGAGCCATTGTCATCGCTGCTAGGCCCCCTTCAAAACCTCTTAGCCGATGATCCATAATTAATCTCGATATTAGCAACTACTGTAGTATCAGTAATCATCTTTTGTCTTCGTCAGAACTGTTTGACAAAATTATCACTTAGGCTATTTGTAACAAGAAACACTAATATCTGAAATTAGTAAATTATTTCAGATAAAGTCAGTGAAAATGTTTATACTAGTGTTGCGTATGAAACCCAGACAACAGCGGGCAACATTGTTGAACTGCGGAAAAAGAACAGTGTGCTGGTAGCTGAAAACTGAGCAATGAGTGAAAAAATTTGACGAACTAGAACACTACAGTAGGCGAATCTGTCTCCTGTTACACGCCATATCGGAGTTGGCCGACTCTTTAGCATTGGATATTATTACCTCCAAGGTTACTGATGAAATTGAGCTCTGTGACTTTGATCGTACACACCGACTCGGTAGGAAAAAATACCATCAACCTAAAACATCCAAGCCAAGGCCTATAATCATTAAATTCACCTCCTATCGTTCATGTTCAGATGTCTTCCGTAACAAGAGATCCCTTAAACAATCCGGCTTTCTTATAACGGAAAACTTAATACCATAAACCCAGTAATAATAAATAATAAACCGAAATCATGTTGAATCTGCCTGGTCACTCGATGGTAAAATTCACAAAAACAAGAAAAAAATCATCATCAAATCAGATCACCTATGAATCCTGTTTCGATGAGTAATTTCAGCTAAGTACTGTTCCTCTATTTCAAATTAACCTGCTAACTGTTAATAACTGCATGATCACACCAGACCAGATGAACTGAACACTGATTTTTAAAACATTTAACAATACTAAATCATAACAGCTATTATATATATTTTTATTTTATGTTAATTTCATGTTTTCCTTTATTGATTGTATAACATGATAATCGTTATTATTTCACTACTATTATTATTTGTGTATACAATGCCTTAGCATTATATATGCATATATATGAATATATTTATGTGTGTATATATATATACATTTATATATATGTATACATTTTATATATATATTTATGTATGTATATATGTATGCGTGTGTGCGTATATGCGTGTGTGCGTATATGTATGTATATGTATATATATAATAATAATAATACTAATAATAAGGAACTTGTAATTTCACTCTACAGGCTGTTTCATGCACTAGGCAATCTTCAGGAGTGAAGGGAATTTCAAATTTGACGTGTATATGTAGAGTTAGGTATACAGATAGCGATTTTTATCGATTTCTGTTGTTGTCTAATAACACGACGTCAATGAAACTGGTTTTCTAACATGTTCTGTTTTCTTTACTTAGTCGAGCGTGTCATCTGTAGATGAATCTTCGTCCAAGAAGCAGAGACGTGAATCCACTCACAGTGATGATGACTTCAGCATGCCCGGCACATCAACGCCTTTACTCCAGGTATGTCACATTTCTTTTTATAATTATGTCTTATATACTTGATGAGTTTTATCTAATGGCACGCAACTGAATTGAGAAAATTAGGATGTTAGTTTAAGTACACGTTGCATTATAAAAATCTAGGAAAACATTTTAATCCTCTGAAAGATTGTGTGTTCTGTGGAAAAATGACGTTTTACTAGTATATGGGTACGCGCAAGTAATTTTCTAATTTCACAACATCAATGCAACAGATTTCTTAACATGTATTGTTTTCTTTACTCTTATACATTCTAATGTATATATAATCGTATAACTACCATTATTATTCTTATTGTATAATTGTTAATATCATTAATATTGTATTGTATTAATTGTATTATCATTAATATTTACAATCCGGTATTTGCATCACATTAGTCGTCAGATAGCGACTGGTCACACACATCGAACAAAAAATTATTCGACAGCCCCATTGCGACAGGTGGCCAAGATTTGCCTATCAAAGGAAAATTTCTGCAGATGGAACAATTAATTAAAGTTCTACGAAATGGAGAGAAGACGCCTCTTAAACGTGTGCCAATTGAGAAAAAAGAACAATTTTATATAATCGAGAACGACGAAAATGTACAGCAAATAACAAAAAGTGTGCATGCTGTGGAGCTTGGGTCAGTGGAGCAAACAATAAGACTCTTATCAGTAAAACTCCATTGAATGAGTACACAGAAATATCATTGAAAGGTGGTGCCTACGGGTCTAATCAGCGCGCTAGCATAAATGGAGTACGATATATTGGAAGTCTACCGTGCGTATGCTAAGCATACCAAGTCGGAGCACTACAAAAGGCGGGTTTCGTGGATGTATCAATTCGGAATGGATCTCCCACAGATTGCAGTTTATGAATACATTGGAGAATTTCCAGGAAGGGCTGTGCACGGCAATGCAAAGATTCTAACATCAGAATACATTCGATTACCATTAAATGCTAATACTATGGACAATATGAAAAAGAAACAATGTATGTTCAACTAAGAGAACTGTATTATAAAAACATTATGGAAACATCTAATTTAATTGATTGTCCACGATCAAGGAAACAAGTGGAAAACATGAAATATAGATTGAAGAAAAAAAATACAGGAATGGACAATAATAAAAACAATTTTGCTGACCACGTAGTAAATTTGCAGGGTCTCTCAGAAACGCATCCTTTTGTACAACAAGTATGTTTTTCTAAATCGAAGATACCAACAATTACTTTATTTACAATTGAACAAATGAAAGACATTCAGAGATTTTGTTGTGGAGAACCCTTCAATGAAAGAACAGTTCTTGGATTTGATAAGACATTTAACTTATGTGAAGTTCACCTAACGATTGCTGTTTCCAAGAATTTAACAGTGGTAAGGAGAGACACAGCGAACACCCTATTTTTCCCGGCCCGATATTTCTCCATGGAAATTCGGATTATTCAACATTTATGACATTTTTCTCGAAACTGCATTCCCATCTGAACACTAGCCAATATTGTTCACCGATTATTGGTACGGACAACGAAAAAGCAATAATTAAAGCCATTAAATTGACATTCTCAGAGTCAAAACTTCTGTTGTGCAGACAACATCTGAAAACCAACGCCACTGATTATTTGTGCGACAAGGCTGGATCAACAAAAGACACAAGAAGTTTAATTATCAGCAGCATATTCGGTATAAGACAGACTGGCAGACACAGATAATGACATTGTGTTCACTCACAGACTTAAAATACATTCATAAAAATGTGCAGTGCAAGGTGCCCTGAATTTTTTTTAATACTTTAATTCACAAATTGTTTAGAGCAGAATTCCGGCCTTGGAATTGTTTAGTGAATATTGCAAATTTACTGTGCCAATAGATGCCTGGTGTGCCAAAAAAAAAACCTGAACAAGACGAACACATGAGGAAGTTTTTCAACCACCACGGAGGAAGATTAAGGAAAAAAATTATTATATCATCAGAAGGAAATACATTCGTTAATGGACCAGGTGTAAATGGTGGGAATAAACCAGGTCAACTGAAAAGGAAAAGAGCAGAAAAATCATGTAATAAATACATATAATACTATATGGGCCAGTGTTCTAGATATATTATATTGTATGATGACTATACATGGTTGAACATGCATTTCTTCTTTACTCATAATGTTGTCCATTTCCTTTAACAGTAGTCCAATTGTTAGAATCTTTGCATTATCGTGCACATGTATGTATATTATATTATATTTATATTTATATTATATATTTATATTTATGTTTTTATAATATACAGTAGTTATATAGTTTCTTGGTTGAACATGCATTGTTTTTGTCATATTGTCATATTATTGTCCATTGCTTTTCAAGGTAGTCGAATGTATTCTGATTCTGTGCATTATCGTGTACATGTATGAATAATATATACATAGGCCTATTATATTTTCATTAAGGTATTTATTGCACAATCATAAAACATTAAAATATATAACAGCAGTCAAACAAAGGAAAGACTGAAATTGTTATATTTACAAGGGAATTTAAAAAAAAAAATTACTATACACAATTCATAATTAGGCCTACAATTAAAATATACAATTCAAATTACAATTCCAAAATACAATTCAAAATTACTTATATAAAAAAAGGAAGTAAATATATAGGAACGTACACAAAAAAAAATTATATTCCTATTCATTCATTCGGGACCTATTCATTTGTTTATTTTCAATTAAGCGAAACAGAGTATTTAGGAAACTGTTCGAAATTATTCAGGTTAGCATATGTCTAGCAATATATACGTTAAGATTCATAGTAACAGTAATCAATTAACCAAAATGACATCAAAAAAGCACAAACAAACCACAAAATCCACAAATTCAGGACCAGACAACAACAACAACAACAAAATTACTATTGGTTTTTGATGTTTTCATTATGTAAAACCCTATTCATTTGTTTATTTTCAATTATGCGAAACGGAGCATTTTCAAATCTGTTCAATAATTATTATAAGTTTATGATATGAACCTTAATAAAGTTCATTAAGAATTCCTATTAGAGGGGATTGCAGAGTTCTTATAACGTCTGCGAGGTAGCATATGCGAGTAGCGTTCAGAATTGTATAGCGATTTTGCAAATGAAGTCAAAAGAGTTCTCCTTCTTTCAACTAAAGTGGGGATTTGGTATAGATCTAGAACTTGATCATAACTATATTGTTTAGGATAAGTAATAATTCGTAGTACTCTTTTTTGTACCCGTTCAATGTTATAACTTTGTGCTAAAGTAATACTGGTAGTCCAAACAGGGCATGCAAATTCCAGAAGTGGTCGAATATAGGTAAGATAAACAAATATAAGATCAGATTGATCCGCTCCATTTCTTTTCAGGCAGCTTATCATATAAATGCGACAAGAAGCTTTACGTATCATATTGTTAACGTGCGTGTTCCATTTTAGATCAGATTGTATTGTCACACCCAGGAGTTTGAGAGATAGGACTGGTTCAAGGGAATGATTATCCAATACAATATTATTATTATTAACAATGTCACCATTAAGGAAACTAATTGTCATGTTAACATTTCTGGGGTTTGAGTTTCATTGAGTTGTCTTTACACAATTGATTGAGGTTATTCATAAGAAATTGTAACCTACTTTGGTTAACATGATTCCGATTGACAATATCAATAATGCTGAGATCGTCCACATATTTCCATCTGTTTTCAGTTGACATGGCTGCATCGTTAATCATAGCAAGAAAAATAATTGGACCTTGCGGGACACCACACGAGACTGTAAAGCCTGGTTCACGTCGAACTTTATCTAGATATACCCGTCTTGAAACATGATACGATAATCCCCTAATTGCGTTCGATGCCCCCTATTTAGAGCCAGAAAAACAGCCAGCCAGTTTTAGGCCGTCGACGTCACACGGTCGAAAGGCTTGTTTAATAAAAGATCTACTGTATTTTACGAACATCTAGTACCAAGTGGTATTCGTTAAAAAAAAAAATGTAAACTACTGTAGAGAAGGTGTGAGTTTCCACTACCTAACCTAGCCGACCAGTATGAACCAACGACCAGTGCAGCAGCGTGTTCTATCGCCATCTAAGTGGTAGATTCTCTAGGCCCTGGCACTAGCATTTACCTTCGATAAAAAACAAATTATTTTAATCGCTAGCTAGCATTCTTCCATTTAACAAAATATTGTTTTAATTTTCATTAAAACGTATGTATACTTTATGGACCTTTCTGTCCTGTTTTGTAGTTTTTAGATCGCTCAATTGTGTTGTTTAGATGCACTTCGCGAAAATCTAGCTTCGAGGTGTCAAATAAGTTGCTGACTTCCACACACTTTTTTATTTCGTCATCGTAAACATGTGCGCTCATTTTAACGACTGGCGTTGGTGGTAGTTCGTTGAAATTGAATTAATAGCGACTATTATAGCAGAAATAGAAAAGATTGAATTGTCAATAAATAAGTACAACAAATTTATTATTAAGAAAATTATACATTATCACTTTGAAAAACGCACGCAATCGGACTTTTTAACGTTATTACTTGGTCGATGATGCAAAGGGCAAAGGTCATTGGTAATATCGACTATTCGTAAAACGGACGTTTGCTGGGTGTTTACCCAAAATATTACAAATAATTTTTGAAACCAGACTAATGAGACTACTTCGATGCTGTTGTTAGCATTGTTGAAGTACGTTGTTGCCAGCCAGAAGATGATAATGGTGGTACAATACAACAAAGCTGGCTTAGATGCCTACGTTACGTAATCGAGCCGACTTTACCGTTAAGCAAGTTAATTTACCGTTATTCTAGTAAAGTTAAGTCACTTAACTTAAGTGACTTAATTCCTTTAACTAGCTATAATTTAGTGGTTCACGTCGAACTTTTAACTAGTTAAGTGGATGTATATCTAGATAAAAGTTCGACGTGAACCAAGCTTAAGTGTGGAGGAAATTTCACCTAGGAATTTAACAGACTGTTTACGGTTAGTCAGAAAATTAGCAATGATAGGAATAATTGAGGGGTTGACATTCATTTTGATTAGCTTGCGAACTGCAATCGTGTGGTCAATAATATCGAAGGTTTTTTCAAAGTCTACCGTGCAAACATTAACAAAATGTCCAGGTTTTTCAAGTCCACATAGTATTGTGTCCAACATACTTATTAGATAGTGATTAACAGAACTGCCTTTGATATTACCAAACTACTGAGTATCAATATTGTGTTTCATATCGTCCATTACCCATTCTGCTAAGAAACCTTCAAAGATGCGAGCTAAAATTGGAGTTATAGAGATAGGTCTAAAACTTGCAAAATCTTTTGCTCGCTTTACTTTGGGGACAGGCGTAATGGATGCTATTTTCCACAAATTCAGAAAAGTTCCCTGAATTAGACAGGAGTTGAAGATAATAGTCAGCGGCTCTGCTATCTCAAATGCAAATTCTTTAATGAGTCTTAGAGGGAGGTCACTCGGGTGGCCAGCTTTAGATGTATTGAGACGACGAAGTTGAGTGTACACCTCGTTTCTGGTGATGGTTGGTGGCGGTAACACAGGTAAATATGTAGGTAACTTTGTGATATCCAGGGCTGGTAATTGCGAGAAAATTTTTGCAAAGTGTAAATTTAATTCTTCAGCGAGAATACTTGGTTCTTTATTCATTTGATGTAACAATGGAGGTTT